AACCCAACAATTCCCACCATGAGCAAGCACTAGGCGACACAGGCAAGGAAAAACTTTCTTTTAACAGGCAGAAACCTCGAGCAGAACCATGGCATATGATGGACGTGGAACAGTAATAGTGGGAAAATCACTCACAAACAAGCTCGATCAGGAGACTGCGATTGTGGATCAGCCTTCCCTCCCGATGAACCTGGATACCCATCTGCACGAACATCTGAATACGGTTCAGGTGGCAGACAAACAACTTTTTCCCGCCGGCTGCTGGGAGGACTCTTAGAGGGCATGTGCTGCTGTTTTCATTTCTGCTCATGAAAAGAGGAAGGCATGGTGGGACATGGTGGGTTACCCGAACAGGGCAATGCGTTACCAGAATGCTTGTAACCTTATTGTTTAAAAGTATTAGTATTCTCAGTTATCCATCCATCCATTTTCGTAACCGCTTTTTCCCTAATGGGATTGCTAACCCAGTGGTCAATGGCTGAGAGGTGGGTTACACCCTGGACAGTACACCAGTCCATCACAGGGCCACACAGGACGAACAAGCACGGACACTAGATCCTAAGGGCAATTTGGAATGTCCAATCAATCTAACATTCAGGTTTTTGGACGGTGGGAGGAGAACCCATGCAGACACAGGGAGAACATGCAGACTCCACACAAAAAGGTCCTGGTTCCCCCAGGGACTAGAATCCAGAACCCTCTTGCTGCGAGGCGATGGTGCTAACCACCACACCAACGCGCTTCCCTTGTCCTCAGATATTTAAGAAAATAAGTATTTATGCGATTTAAATTGGTAGCAGCTGAAAGAATGATACTTTGGCTGATGCGTAAATGCGACATACTGGTAGTTGTATGTGAAGGCGTACTGATCCACGGATCCTGCTCTCTCCTCATCTTCCTCCCAGAAGCATACAAAGTCATTCCTTCCCTCGGCAAAGCACTTGGGGTTTTCAGGTTCCTCTCTCAGGAGAATGGAGGCTGAAAAGCAGAGTCAGTGATGGCATCGCGAAAAGTCTTAGCTCACCTCACCATGTTGAATCATGATCGTTCTAAAGCTTGTCGCTGCCCTTATTTGTAGAAACACCAATAAAATCGCTCCTTTATTTGATCATACCTTTAAATAATTACTCTAAGCTGGCACTTTTTCCATGTAAGTTGGAGTTTTATTGGCAGGACACGTACCCCCAGAGGAATAAATAAATAAAAAGAGGAGTAAAAAAGTTCAAACTCATCTTACTTTTCTTCTCGAACCCCCCTGCGCCTCGGAAGGTGGACGCGGTTCCCATGGCGCAGAGGAGCAGGTGCAGCGCCAACAGAAGGCTGGACTGATCACATGTCATCCTTTTGTCCTCTCTGTGAACAAAGACGTGGACCCTCTGCCGTTCACCTGCATCGCTCGGCTCGCTCTGGCCCCGCAAACACGCCCGCCGCAGGTCTTTGCCAAGGAGGGTGAAGCTTGTTTTTGTTGTTTAGATATCTCGGATGGCGCAACGCAGTTGCGCGCCTGCTCGTGAGCGATAAGGCGGAATGTGGAGCTGTTGAAGCTGTTTACGCACACCAGTCAATGAACAAGAGGTGGGGCAAGGGAAAAAGTTTTTTACTCAATAGCTGGTGGGCGGGAATCACGCGTGTTAAGTAAAGAAAGTAAAGAAACTACTTGCGTAAAACGCGTAAAACGTGTAAAACGCGTAAAAAGCAAAACGATAGATAGATAGATAGATAGATAGATAGATAGATAGATAGATAGATAGATAGATAGATAGATAGATAGATAGATAGATAGATAGATAGATAGATAGATAGATAGAT